TAGATAGATAGATAGATAGATAGATAGATAGATAGATAGATAGATAGATAGATAGATAGATAGATAGATAGATAGATAGATAGATAGATGGTCTTAGGAAGTTAACTTTTGTTTTCGTTTATTTATTTATTTTTCTTGACAAGTTCTGAGAAAGTATGCAGCAATTTCCTTAAATGTTTTATTAAAATACCTTTTCCATTCAGAAGAGTAACCATTACGTCTCACCAACACACCCGCTGAGTTCTATCAAAATAAATAGTATGAACTTAGAAAGTTGAATAAATGCCCAATATCAATTATGTCCAATGGAATTTTTAAGAAAGCTACTGGTAAATTTAGGAAATTATTCTCTAAAGTTGCAGGACGGTAGCTTTTAGATTATATAGTACTATCTACAACATTTTCAAGCCCCACATGGATTGGTTGGTCCCAGAGGGTAAAGCTAAAGGGTGAAGACCAAATGAACCCCATTTATTCAAATCCAAAAACCTTTTTGAGGTGAGAATTGTGTTAATATGGAATCAGCCCACGTCAGTCTCAGCCCAGCTCTGACTATCTAACAACAACATCATGGATTTACTGAATTATGACACCTTGAGCTTTATATTCCTAGAACCTTCTGCCAGAACATCACTTACAAAGTTAATCTATGCTTTAGGACTTTATCTTTTTTCTGTGCAATATGTGTAAATAGGGCATTCTGGACCAGTTTAACCCCAGTCTGAAGAACTTTGTGACCATGGGAAAACACTATGAGAAAGCTCTGACAGGTTAGTTCATTTACTGAAATCTGTCAACATTATTTAGCATGTATAAACTGACATTTATTCTCCTCTGCAGGAGTGACTGTGGCTGCTAAGGGCTACTTTGATGCACTAGTGAAACTTGGAGAGTTGGCTAGTGATAGCCAGGGCTCCAAAGAGTTGGGTGAGTTTGCAGCTCAAGAACCAAACTGCTTTCAAACTTTCTTCTTTTTTTTTATGGTTGAAGTAGTGAAGAACAGTTTGGGTGCTCTATGTGTTTGTGAGCATGGAGATGAAGAAAAGAGTGGATGGGGAAACAGAGGAGAAAAGGACAGAGTAGGGCCATTGTTGAGAGATTAACAACACCACATGATCTCATTGTAATGCTGAAAATGGCGGGGGAGGCAGGCAGGAGCGTCGGAGGGCGAGCTGCCAGCTACCACATACTACAGCGCCGTGTGACCGAGGGAGGGACTTGCACTGACTGACACTTTGTTCATCAAAAACTGTGTCGTGGTAACAACATTAAGGACTTCTTAACTGGCCCATTGGGTTAGTTTTGAAAAGTGCTGGTGTGGAGTTCCTTAAACTGCTTTTTAGCTAATTTCAAGTCCTAATTGCAGAAAAAATCATTCTCATTGAACTTAGCCACCTCACACAGAAAGGAGGAACAAATCCAAAACAGACTAGTGAAGAGGAAAAAATAATCAGGTTTACTGAAATTAATCTAAAATATTTTATGAAAAAAATTACATTTAAGAGTGGGTGTAATAACGAGATAGGCAAAATAAAAATAAAAATATAACTAAACTGAATTGAAGAATAATTATGTTTGTTTACAATAACAGTTGAGTTAAACCGATGGAGACAAAAGCCCCAATTTACTACAATGTTTGGAACTTATTTATGGGTATAATTGGACAGCTGCATAAGATGATTCTTCCTTTTTCTCTCTCTAGATAATTGGTAAAATTGACTATGTTTCTTACTGTGCTGCTCTCAGGGGACACGCTGTTCCAGATGGCTGAGGTGCACAGGCAGATACAGGTGCAGCTGGAAGACGTGGTGAGACTTTCATCTACCTGCTGGTTTCAGTCAATTTACACCCATTTTATAGTTTACATCTTACTAAACACCATCAAATGTGAAGGAAATAAAGTTTTAATGTGTCAATATGTTAAACTATCACCAAGGCATCTATTTCTCTGGTTTAGCAGACTGGTTAAAGTGTTGTTTTACTTCAACAGTTAAAGCTGTTTCACTCTGAGATGCTAGCCCAGTTGGAGCAGAAGCTGGAGTTGGACATTAAATACCTCACTGTGAGTTCAAATGTTTTCTTTTTGTTGATTTAGCAATATAACCACAAACGAATATGATACCAGTGCGACAAGCATGCTTATTCTGATTTATTAACTTTTTTTGAGTACAGGAATTTTCTCTTAATGTTAAAGCTAACAGAGTAAAAACAACTGTTGTTTAATGGAGGAGTGATCAGTTTCGAACTGTAGAACTACATGTTCTCATATTTCAGAATCTCCTCAGAAATAAGACCAAAATTAGCAGTTTTGTGTAATTAAATTGGTAGAGTATGGAGCTTTCATATCTACAGTAGATCCAGTCTATTATGACACGCTTTAAAAATAATGGAACAAACCACATTGGACAAGTAAACTGATTTATGTTGTCTTTCATTACTTTGTGC